AAATCTTCCTCTGTGCTGTTTAATCTAGACCAGTCAATAACAATGCTTCTCACCTCCTTGCTGCCTTCCCGAGGCTCTTAACCTTAGTTTTCTTTCAAAGATTCCTGTTGTTTTTTGTAAGACTGATTTTGAACTCATCTTCTTGAGGATGTTAACAGATATTGAAAGCTTCTTCTCCTTGGCAGTAAATTTTTCATTGGCTCTGAATGCTGGACTTGCCAAGACACAGACCCCCCCGAGGGCTGCCACGAGATGCAGATTTTCATCACACCCTTGATCTGAAGGCAGACTGCCTTCCCCACTCAAACAAGATATGTATATATTGTTTGTTTGTTTGTTTCTCTGAAATAGAGGCAGAAACCTCGCCTCCTCCCACTAAAAGGATGTCAATGCAAAACTTAAAGGAAAGAAAGTACACATCCAGGAGGGTTAATGCAAGTCCCTTAAGAAAACTCCACTCGATTACCCAGCAGGTATTTTTCACTTGACCTCTTGTCTCACACATCTGTACAGAGCTAGTTCCCACTGCTGTGCCATGACTTCACTAGTTTTAATCACTACAATTTTAAAATGGCCTCCTGAATCCCAGAACCATGTGTTTTGACATCCACTGTCACTTCCACAGGCAGTGGATGCAACGACCCAACCTCTTCTCTGGTTTTGCCACACTTGAGCTCATTAAAAACAATTACATGGAGATAAACTCAATCTGTTTGAGACAAAGGAGCTCAGCTAAGAAGTGTCATGTCAGATGAAATCCATACTAAATCTTCACAGAGGAAGACTCAAACGTCTAGCAATTCCCCTCTGGGTGTTCTCACAAAGGAGTTGAAAAGTGAGGGTGATTTTTCCTAAATCACGAAGAGTACATGATTTTATAATGTTTGATTTGCTATGATTATTATTTTATGTAGGGCGACGGGAAAGTGCTAGCCTTCATGAGGACTTGGTGTAGTATTTTTTTAGAAACAAAAATATTTTAAAAATAGTCAGTAGTAAGAAATGCTTCTGGTGAGAGTTCAAAACTCTTCCTCTTTTCCTTTGAAAAGTTTTTCCTATCTCTCTCTTGACTTTCTTTTGCTTTTAAGCTGGAAGAAGCCACAAGCGCGCACACACCCTTCCTTTATAGCTCATTGTAACACAAAACATTCAGCTCCCTCTCTCATCTGCTTCAAGTCAGGCAACTCCAAAGCACCAAAAAGTCAAAACTACAGGTGTATGCCTCTACTTGTCTTTACCCTTCTTGAATGTCCTGAAGAAAATAAGACATCACATAAAGTGGGTTAAAACTTATCAGGTAAGTGAGCACCCTGCAGTGAAGATCTTTAGTCTTTCACCACATTTCCGGGAATAATGAGAGCAAACACAGTGGCCAAACCTCTTTCACCTTCCCGTCACAGGTCTCTCTTGACACCTTTGCTGTAGGAAAGAGCTGCTCACAGCAGTAGAGACAAGGCCGGAAAAGGGAAGTTTAAATAAAAAAGGGCATTTTAGAGCGCTCCAGACTTCAAAGCACCGACAATCAAGCTCCATATAGTGGTAGGAGGTGGGGGAGGTGGGAGGATGGGGGGGAGTTAAAAAAAGGGGGGTTAAATAGCCCAGGTTCTTACTGCCTTGGGCAAGACAAGGGGCCGGTTACTGAAAGCACAGGTGAGCAATTACAGGTGTTTGACAGCTCTTAATGGCTTGTTAATTCAGCATTTTGGGGACAAGACGTTGAGATGCCTTCAGGAGGTAAAGGCAGACCTAGGACAAGCAGCCCGACGCGCCTTGCCCCACTCGTGGGCAGAGGGGCCGATCGGCTGGGCTCTGGATCCGCCGAGTTCCCTGGAATTTCTTGGGAGCCGCTGCCATGGGTCTGAGTATACACAGGGGCAGTGAATAGGAAAGCTGCGAAATGTGATCCCCGATAACGTAAAAGATGTGCCGGCGGTCACGTATTTTGGCTTTTGTTCGGTGCCAAGTGATAAGGAAAATGTTTCCATCACACTTAGCCCAGCGGAGAGACAACTACGAGGCTGCTGCTTTTCTCCCTCGTCAAGGTGGGATTTATCCTTTTATCCGCATCAATGGTTTAAGGCTGGTCCCTTTTGACATCCTCGAGTGACCTATAGACAAACCTCACCTTCAGCATTCCCTGGGCTCACTTGTGGGGAACGGTTCAGAAAGGACAAGGGAGGGAGCTTGGTGGCATGCCCCATGAAGCAATGTGGCATGCAGGAAGGGTGCGTGGTGTGATGCCCCAATACCACGCCGTGCAACTCCAGCAGCAGCAACAGGCAGGTGTCCAGATGCCTAAGTGTCGCTGGGCAGGGAACGGTGCCATCACACCAGCCTCTCTCTGTGTTTGCTCCATAAGGTACAGACTGAAATAACCTCCAGAATTTGACAAATAACCCAGGCGATTCGACTTCCCTGTGTGGTTGCTAAAAGGTAACTTTAGAGAGAGAGGGAGGGAGAGAAAGGACATGCTGGCTAGTCCCAACAATGAGAGGAGCCGTGGGAAGGACAATGCGAATCCATGGTGGCTAATTTGCACAGGAGGAATGAGGGGGCTGCAGCTCTGGCAGGCTTCAAGCTCTCCCCTGTTGCCATAGCACTGCTGGCTGAGGAAGAAGAGCGGGGGCTGGCAGGCTGCCTTCTGGAGGGAATCTCCTCAGCTCTCCCTTCTCCTCGGGAAGGACTCCACGGCATGCCGTCCTCCTGGCCGCAAGGACATCCCAAAGGGACTGATAGCACGGGAACACAGTGGGGGCGGTGGGGAATTCCCCCTCAGAAATAACCAAAGCTTTTCCGCAGCTCAGTCCCTGCTCCCTCCCTCTACCCTGCTATGCCCTGCGCAGAGACAGAGATGTCAGCCTTTGGAGAAGGCGTGGAAGTTCTCTCGTGGTCCCAGACAGAGTAAATTAACTAGGATTAAGCTAAATCCAGACTCCTTTAAAACACAGATGTGCAACAGGCCCGGATAAGAATGGCAAAAATCTTCCTGCTCTTTTCACGTCTAACATTCTCCACAACAAAATAAATTTACCAACTGCTCCCTACCTACTTTTAATGTTCAGTGATGGTTTGGCGACAATTCTTTTCAAATACAGAGAAAAGCAGGCAGAGATGCAGAAAGGGATTTCTACTTCGCTGCTACAAACTCTGGAGTGAACACAACTCCCTGGCCAGCTGTGTGACCAGAAGGCAGCTGGAAAGGGAAGTTAGCCCAGTAAAACACACGCATGCACCACCCTGTCACTGGGTGACAGAGACGCGCTGCATCACCTTTCAGCCGCGGGATTATTTATTGCTCTAAGCTGGCCAAAGCGCTCTCTCTAGGGCTGTCTCTAAAGGTACACCGGACTACAGTTCCGAGGGAATGCCGCCCTAAAGAAGGAAAGTCCACCTCTCGCTAGTGCTGTGACCAGGAAGGTGTTTGTTTACATAGCTATACCTGAAACTAACTCAGACTCCTAGAGACAGACTCTCGGAGCCCGTGGAAAGACAGACAGCCGGCCAGTGCCATATTACAGGCATCCAAGCACTAAATTCACGGCGATGATTATGGATCAGACTGATTGCAAAATAGACCCTACGATGATATACGGGCCCGTTTAGCCATGTCCAAAGAAACAGGCATTCCTGAGGACGGTTGCTAAGAGCAACGTGCCATAAGCACCACCTTTAGACCAGATGGAAGCAGAAAAAAAATGTGCTGCTAGGAATTCAGAGATTGGTAACAGCCTGGTGACTTTTTAATCATTACTCACTTTCCCCTCCATATAAAACTGTGTGCGGGGGTGCTGAATTAAATTAAAATAGATACAAACCAAGGCATTATTCCCAGGCAAAGGCAAGAGATTTCTGTGCCCCGAAGAAATGGATGCAGAGGCTGCCACAGTTTATCGCGGACGGCGACAATGAGGGAGATGCGCTCTTCCTCCGTCCACCCGTGTCGTCGGCAGGCACAGAGGAGGCTGCTTGTATGGGGGAGCAATTTTCAGCCTGTCCCTTCCTGGCCGCCCCCCGCCGCCGCTCGCCCACGGTGCCCGGACGACCAGGAGGATGCTGATACGGGGCTCTCATCGTATCTCGCCCCGGACTGGCACCGAAGGACATCCCCGGCCGCACAGACCCCTTCGGACCTGCTTTCCGAACTTTCCGTCCTGCCCTTTCTCACTGCAAAACTTCTGTAGGGGATGCAGCGGCTGGAATTTGTCCCTCGCTTGCTTGCTTAGACACACGAACATGCGCGCTTGCACAGGCAGAGCTCTTAAGGTTAGTGTCCTGGTCCAGCTGGGATAGCCTTTAAACTGTAAACCCTCTCTATTCTTGAAATGTCATTCTGATCTGCTTTTTTTCTTTTCTTTTTTTGCCCCCGGGAGAGGGAGGACCTCCCACAACTTTCCTCGCATAGAAAAGCTGTGCTTTTGAAAGGCATCGCAAAAGCTCTTCCCCGAGCACCGCTCGAGACATAAATCATCTCTTCTCTAACCCTAAACGCCACTCAAGTGTCAAGCAAACAGACAGATACTTCAAGGGAAATCAGCCCAAAGGTCTCAAATCACAGCGTTACCCCGCACGGGATCGGCTCGGGGGGATCAGAGACGGGCGGCCGAAACTTAACAAGTACTTGACAGGTTTTCAACTGATCAATCACCGCATTAGCCACGCTTTCCCCTTCTATGGAAACAATAAAGCAAAACAATGGAAACAATTACGAGGAAGCCACACAAGCTGCGCAGAGCCTTAGGCAAGCACGTTTGCCAGTCTTTTTTCTATTGTTATTATAATTATCATCACCATCGTGCCGTTACTACGGCTACAATGAGCAGCAGCGACAGAAAAAAAATCACACAGCAATTCATCCCTCCGGATGCAAAATAAAGAGGGACTTCGCTGCCCGACTCCGGTAGCACGTCCCAGCTCTCCCCCAGCATCCCCTTCTGAGTCAATCCTACGCATATCACATTCAGGCTTAAACACACAATGAGAAAAGTGTCGGGAAATCTTACCAAATCTTAATACATGTGTGGTTCCTTGAGAATATCCAATCCACAGTAAGCAAAGAAGGAGTCTAATGGTGCATCTGAAGACTGAATTAGTTACAATATGGGAAATAATCTTCATGATGTTTCTATGCACACACGCGCTGCCTTACTTCCCCCTTCTAAGCCGTCAGGTTTCCCGGTAGGGTGAGAATGAGGATACGTAAACTGATGGCCCTCAGACACGATCACGGCATGGTCACAGAGAGAGCAGAGAGTCTACGCTTCCCAAACCCATTAGCAATCCCTGCATGTTCTTCATTCACTGCGCCAAGGAGCAACCTTCAACTGCAAGGAATGGTGGGACATCCATGTTAGTCGGGGGAGAATCCTTGAGAAATCCAAACACACACGGTGTCCAGCCGAGTAAACCTGGGAGGCGAGAAAGGAGGAAAATCAATAGGTAATCCAGCTGGAGAGATCGCTGAGGTACCGCCACATAGCGAGCGCCCGCGTTTCACTGGCGGAGCTTTTGCCGAGCTCCCATTCTACTGCACTGCTGCACAGCTTCTGACGCGAAGCCAAGATTAAGTGAGAGAAATTGAGATAGCTCTTCTCTGCTTAAGGCTGCCTGCCAGACAGCCTTCCCAATTTCTATTATGCAACCGATCTGATCGCCCAGCTTTGTCGGAGGCAAAAAAAAAAGCCCCCAGCTCGGTTATATTTACATGCTCTTATTATTATTAGTTATTCAGTTGTTCTGAACAATGGCTATAAGGGGCGGGGGGCGTGGGGGGGGGAGTGATGTTAGAGGGGAGAAGGGAATGGGTTGTGTGAAAATCAATCCCTGTATTTCAATAGCTGACTGCTTGGGTCGAGATCACTTAGCTTTAGAGTTGTGAAAGAGAAGGCTGACAACAGTCATGCAGGTTATCAGAGTATAACGTTCAGGTTTGGGAGAAAAAAAAGATATTTACAATCATTAACTGTTACTCATTTTAGTGCATGAAGTAGAATTAATGCTATGGCTTGTCCCTAGGAACTGACTGTCCCTAGGAACTTGCTCCGGACTCAGTGATAACAGAGCACCAGGCTGCTTTTGCAGGGTAACAGGAATCGGCAGCGCTGGAACAACCTTGTTGAATGCACAGACCTGTTTCGCTAAACTTGCTTGAAATTGTAGTGTTGCTTAAAAGACAGTAACTTCGGGATTTACTGGTTTGTGATTTTCACTTTATTCTGTCAATCTTTTATTTTGCACTCTGCTTTCCTTTCACTCCAGTATTATGGAAATGTGGCTGTTCCTCCCTATACTATGATCTACGTAGTTTATCATTTTGCTGTCCTCAGTGAGAACAACAGCATTTCCCAATTTGATAATGGGATACTGAGTTTATGTCTGGAAATGCAGCCACAGATTTTTGGGTTTTGACCAGGTGTTCCAAAGAAGATAAACCTATTCTGTGGATAACTTTAGATTTTCCTTAGAAATGCAATTAGTTGTGTGTCTGCATCCACTGAAATACATTAAACCAGGACTGTCACATTTTGCAATCTAAGTCAGGATTTGCTGAACCTGCTTGAGCTTTACTACAAACACTGAAATATAATTCCTGTATTTCCCATCAGGAAAATGAATTAATTTTTTCCTACATTCCGCCTACAGACATCTTTTGTCTCCTTTATCTCCCTCCTTTGCTTTTCATTAATAAAGAAAATATCACTGGGAGACTTTCCCCACAGATACATAGAGAAGAACATAGAATAAACCTGACTTTACAGAAATAAATACCAATGATGCCAAGCTAATGAGAACACTCTGTGAAATCTATCAGAAACAGAGCATGGCAGAGGTGAGTTGCAGTTTATTCTTAATTAACATCTGTGTTTTGTAGACCTGTAAATAAGTAGCAGCAGCATTAGGATTATAACTTGTAGTGTTTGTGCTTTGTACCCCTAGAAGTGTTAGCAAGTAACTTTTTATCATTTTGCCTTACTGATTTCCTCTGCACACTTTTACTTAAAACACCGTAAAATGCTGATGAAAAGAAATGTACAGTCTGCAAGAGGATTATTAAACATCATTGATTTTTTTTTTCCTTAAGATGGAGGCATAACTGCAGTGTCAAAAATAAGTATCATGAATGGCTAGTTCTGCAGTCTAGCAGGGAATTCAATCAGACGATTTGACTATTGGAGCACTTTAAAAAGAACACCTAGTGTTAAAAGCAAGGATATCTAGCGACTCCTTCAGTTCACACTTAGAATATCTCCCAGTGAATAATGCAGAGAGATGCTTTTTCTTCTATTTACTATTTCATTTATTCTCTTCTACTCGTTTCTATTTTTTCACAGTCCAAGGAGAAATAAAACCAATACACGTGAACGCTGTGAAAGTTCATTGCCTCCCTCCCTGTTGTTGTTGAAATAAAGAATATTATTTAGACACATTTTTAATTGTGAATGCTGAGGTGCAGCTTGCAGTCTAATCGGATTTTTTTTATTTATTTAATTTTGTTTTGGTGAGATGTTTTGAAAATATAATATTCTTCATGAGGTTTAGCACATTAAACAATACACAAACTTTGGACAAAGTGACTCCTGTTACCAGTTTGATTTTCTAAGCCCTCTTGAAAAAAAATAAAAAATACAGCTACCTGTAATCTCAGCCCAACAGGGCACCTAACTCACGGAGGCGTTTAGAACTGGAATCATAAACCAACTTGTGGTTAATTCCCGTTACTATTAAACACTCAGCAGCCCACGCTGCAGCCCCTGGTCTGACGCCCGAGGCTCACACCGAGTTTCCTTCCCCCCGCGCCGGCCTCAGCACCGCGGACAGCGCCGGAGCGGCCCCGTCAGCACCGCGGACAGCGCTGCCGGCCGCCCCCGCCCCGCAGGTGTCAAAGAGCCGGGGCGGTTTTACCCTTTCCAGTCATTTCACAGCGCGGAAAGGAAATTAAAACCTGTTATCGGCTTCTTTAAAGATATATATATTACGCCCTCTATTATGTTAGGTAGCCAGCTATTTTATGGCATTGTATAGGTTCAGAATAAGTACTGATGTCCTCCTTGTCTACTATCAGATGTCACCTAATGCCCTGTATTAACATTCCTCCCCCTTCTTTCAAACCCTAGCTCCCACCTTAAAAAAAAAAAAAAGTCAAAGTTAACCCAGAAATATTTTCTCAAGAATACGAGTCCCTTATATAAAAAAAATCAAATCTTACAAGACATCAGATGATTAGAACTCACTAAATATTTGGTGACTGGAGACCACTTATAGACTATATAATGGACTAAAGCTTCAGTCTTCCCCACCCTAGACTTCTTTTCTGTTATTTGGACTTTAACACCACTTCTTCTTCATTAAAAAGAAAAGGATACCTTCTTACATCCTTCAGACTGATTTCAACATGAAAACAGGTAAATATTCTTAGTGCCTTCAATATTTCTTTCCCTGTGAGATGTACAATTCAAAGTCTGGAAATCCCTAATAAAACGTCATGGTAGATAAGCTGGTCTTCGGTTTTGGGATCTTGTCACCACTGTTTCACAGCTCTTTTCATATTAAAGTCTTTATGAAACTGCCCTCTACACTTCAGTGATCATCAGCTGGGAAATCTACAATTCCTTGGATATATGTTTTGATTTGTTTGGTCATCTATTGTAGACATGGTGCTAACACATCTCCAGCACACAAGGACATCTTTAATACAGAGGACTCTGTTCAAGTGTAGCTGATATGAAAAACAGTAATCCAGCTATAGACAGTGAAAGAAGAAGAGGCAGTCTGAGGCCTTTCTGGGTAATAAAAACCTACTACAGTTTTAGCTGTGTGTCAAGTATAAATGGTGTACATTATGTGCATAATGTTTCTTTGGAAAGGGGAGATATGTGATTCTGATTACCTTACTATATCAGGATCTTTTCCCATCAGATCTAATTTTTATGTGCCGTTATCATTATAAAAGTTAACCCAGTTCCAGCTAGCTGCCACCTACTGGGATGTATAGTTTTATCATACTACTTTAAAAAGGAATGGGCTTTTATTTTCAGGTCAAAGCTGTGCCTCTAAGAACAGATAGTGAGGTTTTTATATCACGTAATCTACTATTTTGACCTCTCACAACAACAGCTGCTATAAATTTAATGTATGTACAACATATGGTCCCCCAAATGTTTCTCGGACATTTTTCGGCAAATCCTTGCAAACGTTTCAGATTCACATGTCACCACAGTCCTCCTGCTGTTCCAATCTGGTGTGAGGAGAGCCACATCTTACTGCAACACCTGACCAGCATCTCTAGATCTTTAGAATCAAGTATTGCAGCTTTGCTGACGAAGCAGTAACAGAGTTTTCCCTTCTAAAACGTTTGCCAAAGTATTCAAATGAATGTTGATATTATCATTCAAAACAAATTGCGGCCCACTGGCATTTCACTCCCACCAGCTATATAAAAAACCCCATAGGTCCTTCTCTGTTTGTTATTATCTAAGTCCAAATTTACAACCAAGTTTCTGCTGTGCCAATGATTAATGACATTTTAAGAGGGTAATTAATTTTTAGCTAGTGGAAAGACTTGTATTCTAATTAATGAAGCGAGTGTGTGATAGACTTTCCTGTTCAGGCACTTTTGAGTATCACAGCAATGCTCTTTCCTAGCAAGTTTTAAGCAGCAAAAACAAGTACTTTTGACATGATCTACAGATCAGCCTTTGGTCTCTTCAGCTTCCGTTGGGGTTGGGGTAGCTGTGCAAGATTTTTGGAGGAAAATTATGATGCCTTATGCTTTTCCTGCTGTACTCCCCCAAAAGTTTCTAAGGAGAATGTGAAGAAAGGTTTCCATTACAATCTATTCATTCCTTCTCAGTGCATGCAAGGCTCTTGCTATCATGCCTGCACTCCGTAGGCAGGAATGTCTCCTGCTTTCCAGAGAGTGTCAGCGCCCTGGCTACTTTAGCGATGGATGCTCAGCCAAAGAATGCTGATTCTGTTCAGAAATAAATGACAGGGCTGCCGCTAAGCCGAAAAGGGGACTGTCTGCGCCGTACGGTGGGGGCCGGGCAGGGGCGGGAGGACACCCTAAGGAAGTAGAGACTGCTGTCCACCCACAACTCCAGCGAAGTTAGAGCCCGGTTCTCACCTCCGCTCCCCCATGAGAGCGGGGGGCACATCCTCAATGCAGCCGGTCCGGCCTCCCTGAGCCCGGCTCGGGAGCAGCTCCGGCCGTGGGAGGGAGTTCCGGGCCACCGGGAGGGCACCGGGCGAGGGGCATCGGGGGGCTGCGCTGCCCTGGCCTCTTGCTCCCTCTCCCCGAACCTCCGCTTTCAGCGTGGGGACAGCGGCGGCTCTGACGATGCGGAGCAGCGATGGAAGGAAGACAGGAAGCCGACAGGTCTGCTTTCCCCACAGTGAGGGACAGACCCGGGAGGCACCAGCGCTCGGGTCGGCCAGCTCAGCGCCCGCCTTTGCCCTGAGACACTTGGCCAAGAGCCATCGTGGTGTGCAGCTCTGGGCACAACGCGGCCACGGTGCATCCCCCGCCACCCCCGGCCCCCCCGCAGCCCCTCACCGGCATGCAACCCCTCCGGCCGTGGCGGCCAGCCGGAGACCCCGGGACATCCTCCTACCTTGAGTTGCGGGAGGGGAATCGGGGAGGGAGAGGAAGGCGGAGGCGGGGGAGGAAGGGCGGTGGCAGGACGCC